TGTGACGTCATTTGTTGCACTTCGGGACCACTTTTGATGTATGGCCAGCATAAGACGCTAAACACCAGTGTTGCCAGATTGGGCTATATATAGCCAAATTGGGCTACATTTTTTTTCTAGTTGGCGTCAAAATTTTGTGGTTGGCTATGTGGCCATTTTGGGCTATTTCTAAGAATGCAGCGAACTTTTGTCGAACCTCGGGTTCGACGGCGAACTTTGAGGTTCGGCTTGTAAATTTTCGACCTTTAAATCGGTTTCGAAAAAAAAAAAAAAAGTTTCTCTTTTGGCTAGTCGAGACGAGAGAGAGGAAAGAGAAAGGCCTCAAACTTCTACAAACTTCGGTGTTTTTACAATGCGCAGTGAAGCAATATTTGCAGAGTTCAAGCGGTCTCCTGCAGCGCAGTGGAGCAAACCAAACAGATTGCACTAATACCACAGGCCCTGTAGCGCGCCTTCAACCCGGACGCACATGGCTCCGTCCGGACGTAGACTGAACTCTCCAAATGCTGCTTTGGTGCCCACTGGCGCACTGGACGGGTGTGGTGTGCCCCAGACGAATAGGCACCCAGGTTTGTAAAAATGAGAGGTCCGCAGTTTCACCGCTAAACATTTGACTTCCTTCCAGTCACTGCCCACCCCAAGAAAGCACAACACAATAGGAAGTTTTCGCAGACCGCGTTGCCCCCTCCGCTAAGCGTTCCGCAACGAAGAAGTTGCTACTGCGCCTGCGCGCCGATAGCCTTGACTGTAGTGTTCCCGCTATCGTAGCGGGTTGCGGAGGGCCTTGCGGGACGGCAAAAACGATCTACGAAAACTCCCTAATCAGAAATAGCGTGAACATGAATGGGTGACACTAATATTCTTCACAAAGAAAAAGAGACGGGTGGGATATTGGTAAGGCCTGAGATATTGGGGTTCTGGTTTGAAGCATCCAGTGTTCTGACCGTTCTCCTTCTGTATTTGGTTCTTTTACTGTATGATCATATCTCCCGCGGGCTTCACAATAAAGCTATCTTTGTGTGTTTTGTACTTCTGAAAACCTACGAAGGAAGGGCCAGTTTTGCACGGATTTTCATCATTCCTAAACTTTTTTTTTGAAAAATGCAGAAGTAGCGTAATGTACACAAAAGCAGGTGCATCTGAGGGTTGAAACAGAGATTGTAACGTGTATGTATGAGTGTGAGAAATAGACAGTATAAGGCTTAAAAGTCATTGTTTTTAGTCGGCTATTTTGGGCTATGTTTTTTTTACGGCTTTGGCTATATTTGGGCTATACCTCCTAGTCGTATGGCGGTTTTTTGTAGGACCATCTGGCAACACTGCTAAACACACCAGTCGGAGACGCGCTGCAGGTGCCATAGTACAGCTCCTAAAAGTAGCTGTCACGTGCTTTGCTCCGCGACTGTGATTCCCTCACAGCAGCTCTGACTGAGGGTTGCCAAATTACGGTGAAACGGAGTATAGACAAAACAGACCGGAAACGAGCTGCCAGCATACGATAGTCAAACTCCAACAAAAAGGATTAGTTTCTTCCCAAGCTGGACGACATTTACCGGGCATCTTTAGAGCTGCGAAGCTCAAAATCACTCGTACTCATAAGATTTTTTTTTTCTCGCGTGTTTGTGATTTTTATGATGTCCTGCAAGCAAGAAAAAAATATATATGGTGAAGTCACTCCGAGGGGGTACCGATAACTGCGAGCCACGAACATGAAGGATTCGCTAACATCCGTCAGGAGTGTGAACGGTAAATCGTCACGCAAACATATTCTGACAAGCTGCAAATATTTATTTGGCTTAGCAAGTAGAATACTAGTATACTAACGACATGTGATTATTGTACACAAGATACCATTTCTCGGTTCTTCAAAACCATTTCCCTAGTCTGAACGGTCGCGCTACAGGCCGCGGCTAGCCGTGCCCTCGATAGACTACGGAGCTGCGTTGTGTCGTCTGCTACTGTACCGCCAACAGGAGAGCGATAGCTCTGTGTGCTCCACAGATGCGTGTTGCGGTATAACTCTGTACGTCTGTCCTAGAGGAAGACAAAAAGATAGGCTCTGTGACCCCCTCCTAAGCTAACAAAAACAAACAGTAGTATACTCGTTTGGACTGAAAGGTTTACAAAATAGTGACCAGGCATTGGAAAAGCATATGTCACAGAACTTGGTTTATGAAATGGCATCATTGTTTCGAGCAAGAAATCACCTGCTCACCACTGGGACGATGAAATCGTCACTATTTATTGCGTCAGGTATATTTGCGCTCATGAAGAAAAATCTGAACACATCCTTCTCCCAAAGTCCCGTGTCGAATAATAAACACTTTTTTAAACATCTCTGCACAAATAACTCATTTTTTTCTACACTTGTATATACACGTTAATTAAACGACGTCAAACCGCATTTTTGATTAGATCTTGATGTCTACACCAACTACATTAATATTTTTTAGGGCTTTATTGAACGATAACTTCAACTATAGTTAATGGAACACGATGGCTCGATCTCAACAAAAACCTCAACGTGCCAAGCTTCCACAGACGGTCGCTTGCGAGTATTCTCAATTTGAGACTTCAGAAGCTTCCGCTTGCCATAGGAAGCTTGCTTTCGACTACAGCACTGCACGGGCCCGGAAAGCGCGGAGCGCGCTGCTGTGGGGAGAGGTTGACTTACAAGATGACGTGTTACGTGGTCACGTAAGATGGCGTCATTTCGTGCAGCATGATCACGTAAGATCATGTCATTTCGTGTAACGAGATCATGTAAGATGACGTGTTTGTGTCACGTGATCACGTAAGATGACGTCAGTTCGTATGAACTGACGTCACCTTACGACAACGCCAACAACATTAGTGCCGTCCGGAACCATTGACCTTAGAAACGCGCCTCTTCGCTTGAAGAGCTGATATGCGTTGATTGTTATTTGTTTCTTTTGCCTAATACAGACCATTCAAAAACTCGCCTTCTGGGTGCCACCAACTTCGTCTACTGGGCTGTAAAGCGCGTTCGAGCGTGCGCAATACCTCTCTAGGCCGAAAGATTGTACACTGAGTATGCGTTCACAGCTCACTGACTTAGGCATTTTTCGTCAGGATAGATGCTCCCACGAGAAGAGCGTAGTGGATATGTGAATAGAATTGGAAATTTGAAATGTTCTTGTCCAATCGCATTTTTCTTTGGTTATCAACGCTTTTTAGCGTCATCACAAGACGTTCAACCCATAATACACTGGTGATTAAAAAATAAGCACCGAAAAACATGCACCGATTTTCGCTCAAAAATAAACACCGGAAAAAAACATACCGTAATCATTACCCATGTCACCTTTTTGGGTGATATGTGAATTTCCAGAAGAACAGCGAGTTATCACCCTCCCCTAGGAATACCCTGACTACAGAGCAGGCGACCCGTTTTTCCCCGCGTTAGATTGCGGTGACCACGAACCGTACGGAGGTCACAGGACGTCCGTGAAAAATAAAAAGGAGCCAAACAACGATCTACTCTGTGCACGCTTCATCCCCGATTTCCACGACCCCAAGGCCGAAGGACGTTTGTGTGAAGGATAACGATAAAATAAAACTTTGCGTCAAAAAAAAAAAAGCCCGTTTTTAAAAGAAAAAAAAAAGTAGAAACAAGCACAACGCGTTGACGGACCGCGAGGTTGTGGAACACCTCGCGGTCCGCTTGCCACAGGACGGTTGTCTTCGACCCATAGCTCCAAGGTGAATTTGCCACTTGCGAAAACACGGAGACCTACCCAGCGAGAACCAGGAAGGCAAGACACGCACACTGATGCCTCGGCGTGCAGAATGAAACAGGATACGGGCGCGGAATACGGCCGCGGAAGAACACCTCGCACAGTGCCGATCCGGCCGATCTCCGAACGGACGATTTCGCATTTCGTGGACAGCGAGCGCCACCGCACGGGAGAGAGAGGTACCTTAAAAACGACGAAAACAAGCACCGACACCTTGGTTCTTTATATTTGCTGTAGTTACGGAACAAATCGACTTACATGAATAATTTGAATATTATTCGATTCCGTAATAAATTTAGAAGACACTAAGCGCAATACCTCTTATGTTTGAATTTATATAATTTTGTAAATTCGCTCCGAACGCAAGAGTGCCGAATTAGCCAATTTTGACCATTTTCATGATTTTTTAAAGAATATAATTAAATTTATGATGAAACATTTGTTGCGCTTAGTGTCTCGATAATGACTCAATGTCTTTAAAGCCGAAATTTTCAAGAAGATCCGCGCAGCCTTTATTATGTGAGAATTTTTTTAATTTGGTGAAAAACCTCGTATTCTCTATGGGGCTCTGAGGTGCGCCCCCTCTTAAGAAGAAACTCGAAACCCTTCGAACCACCAAAACACAAAACACACCGCCATATCTTATCAATGGGATTGTGATTACAATCTCGCTTCTAACGACACATGTAAGCCATCTCGCCGCGAAACAAGGCAATGGACGGCGAACTAACACACATACCCTCCTGGCACCGTGACATGACGAAAGGCTCCGTAATCTTCCTTGTTCTTTGGTTAGTGTGCCACTTTTCACTTACATTGGCATTGTGACACGGCACACTAACCAAAGAACGAGCGAGATTACGGAGGCTTTTGTCATGTCCGGGTGCGAGAAGGGTATGTGCGTTAGTTAGCCGTCCATTGCCTTGTTTGGCAGCGAGATGGCTTACACGTGTCGTTACGAAGCAAAATTGTAATCACATTGATAAGATTGGCGTTGTGTTTTGTGTTTTGGTGGTTCGAGGGTTTCATATTTCTTCTTAATAAACATTCAGTTGCAAGTCAACGCTTGTCATATACATTCCTCTCACTCCTTCGTCTAATTTTGTTTTCCGCTTTTGTTTTTGGTTGTAGGGAAAGTTGAGGTTTTAGGGAGTGTTATTAAGGCGAACGGTTCGTCTCCGAGGTAGCATGGGAAGGGTTCGGCACACAAACACAATGAACGCTCAGGTTTGAAACGAAATGTTGTCATTTATTTGATGATACTGTCGTTTGTTTGTCATGTGAATTTGTTATCATCCATCTTGTACTCATTTTTTTACGTTTTTATTGAACTTTTTTTGTCACCCCCCTTATTTTTACACACACACATGCACACACAGACACACAGGATTATACAAACGAATGCACGTCGAAGTCGCGTCCCTCATTCGGGAGAGGACGTTTCCGAATCGCTGCTAGCCTCTGCGGAGCGAGTTGAAACGTCCTTGGACATGCTTTTACTCCGCTCGCGCTTTTCTCTCCGAGCTTTGGCCTTGGCGAGTCTGGCCAGGACGCCCTCGTAGTGCTTCTTGTAGATGCGCTCCACGACCACGATCTCGTGGTTCACGCACACCCCCAAGAACCTCATGGCTATGAGCGCGGCCAGGATGATCAGCGTGGCCGCGAAGACCACGAAGAGGTTCCCGCGCATCGTCTTGACGAGGGCATCGACGCAGTTGTGCTGGTAGACTCTCTCCCAGGCCTCCTGCTCGCTGACCTTGAGGACGTCTTGGCCGCAGAAGCGACGCTTCAAGATGGCCTCGAGGTCTTGCACGACCTCCATGGGCCGGCAGCAAGACGATGGCACGAAGCAGCGCTCCGCACTTGGGTTGGATCTGCACGAGAGTCAGGAACAAAAAGAAATGCACAATAATGACCGTATAAGCCCTTATCACGTGTTCCTTGTTTCATAGCAGTTTGCGTAGCAGAGTGAGTTGTCAAGCTTCAGGATTATAAGCAATGCGAATGAGGAGGAAGTACAGAGTTTTGGACGTCGTTTATTGAGATTAACTCTTTCTGCTAGATTGTCAAGGCTAACGTATAGTTTTCACAATACAGCACCCTCCGCTGCTGCGACAGCATCTGGCTTCGTCTTGCGTCTTAATCGTACGTGCCCTCATGGTAAGAAGATGCATATTTTATACAAAATGTGGCGAAACACCAACTAGACGACCTCGCTGTGTCTTCGAGTCCAGCGACTGCCAATCTGACAATCCTCCCGCGTATACCTGGAGCAGTTGAAGTAGATGTTTTGGTTCCAGTCCTTGTATCCGTCTTCGGTCACGCCGCAGCACTCGAACTTCTCCTGAACGTTGTCGATAAGTTGTCTGTAGTCAGCGTTGTCCCGGTAGCGTTCCACTAGTTCAACGCTCACCGAAGACTGCAGCGTCTGAAAAAAAAAAAAAAAGAAGAAGAACCAAACACGTGTTATATAACTTGGCCACTCAATAGGCTGCTTCAGCGCTCCACTGGGAAATTAGACAGTAGCGTTTGGTTAGCTTTGACTTTTATGTGACGTCTGGCGGCACATAGGCTTACATTGTATGTGCTTTGATTAGAGTTGCACCATACGACGACTTTTGCCTTGACGTTTGGCTTTCTTTCTCAGGAACGCGTGAAAGCGTGTTTCCCGGCACGAGCTAAATTGGCGGTACTACAACAAAATTTTGTTTCCGACTCTTTTTTATTTTCCTCGTGAATCCATGCCGCCGGCATCGGGCACTACAAAAAGTCATATCATTTTTAGGAGAAGGACACTGAGGAATCCTGTACTAAACAGAAAAAACAAAAAACAAAAAAAAAACAACAGCAGCAAAAAAACATTAAGGCACCTGTTGCCCCCCTAAGCAAAGCGCACATGAGGACACCCCAGTGTGAATAGGCCTTCAGGCTGAGAGAGTGAATAACCATTCTTTATTGTGCCAAGTTAGGCCGAGTGGTGCCATTAACGCAGCCGTATAGCCGCTCTCCGAGCAGGGCGCATGTGAAGCCACCGGAAGTTTGATGTTTGTCCCGGAAGTCGGGCGTCTGCTGGGCTTACTAGTGCATTCAATCGACGCTTCAGTTCGTGCTTTCCGGTGTCTTTGAGTGTGTTTTAATAATCATGCTCCGAATTAAATCCCGAGAATGAGGCATTTGAACTTGGGACACATGCACACTTGATCAACCAGAATCTCAAAAAGTTTACATTGAATGGCTTGCCATGATACTTGTCGGGTCTGCATGCGCTCTTACTGTGCAACAAGCAGGCTCATGCGAAAAGCGAAAATCCAGCATTCTCGGCGCTTTCCAAACCGGCACTCGGAAGGGTTACGAAGCGTGCCAAGCGCTCACTTCCGGGACAAGCCGCTTACTTCCGGTGGCTTCATACCTGCTTGCTGAACGCGCCATCCAGCCCTCAAGTGGAGATCGGTGTTGGCATATCAATTGCAAGAACGGTACTCACGCTGAAAAGAGGTCGCGCATTGGTAGAGAAGTGTACGTGACCGTATCGAGATGCCGCATCCTATTCATATTTGATACGTTTTTTTTTTTTTAAGTATGAAATGCTTTTTGACGGAATTCTAAACTCTTCTCCGTCTGTCTGTCCGTCCGTACGTCTGTCTGTGCATTTCCAGATGAATTGAGCGGGAAAATTAACGTCAACTGACCTGACGCCACTTTACCTATGGCACCAATTCAAGGTCCACGCGAAATTTAGCGGATAAATTGACGTCACGTGACCACACCAATTCCATTTCGCCGCTACATTTAGCAGAAGAATTGACGTCACTTGGCCGGACGTCACAAGATCTGTACACCAATGCGGGCCACACCTTTTGTCCGCTTAGTTTAGCGGGAAATCTGACGGCACATGACCTAATTCACGGGACTTATACACCAATTCAGTTTCCACGCTAAGTTTGGAGGAAAGAGTATTGTCATGTCACCTGACATCACGTGATATGAAATTGAGTTGCGTGACCTACAGACCAATTTGATATTCCCTCTAAACTTAGCGAGAAAATGTATCCCATCCGACCCATCTTCCCTAACCTATACACGGATTTAATGGTTTAGTTTTCCCGCTAAATTTAGCGGGTGAATAGATAGAAATATAGGTTTTTCACTCCCCGAAAATACTGTTTAGTACTTTCTAAACGAATTTGAACGATCACTCCTTAAATACTGCATGTTATGCATTATAGGAGTTTGGCGATAAAGGTGGCTGCCAGTTATTTATTGATAAGTATTACTCACGTTTTTGGAGATGAACGGAATGCCGGCGATGACCATAGCGACGAGGAGCACGAAGAACATGCCATTGGTGAGCAGGCGGATGTAGCACCTGAGGAGCGTCTTGTTTTCCCGCAGAGCGCCGAAGAAGCCGACGAAGGACACGATGAAGGTGACGAAGGATATGCTCAATATAGGGATCTCCAGGTTCACGGCCACCGTGATCAGGACCGAACCGCCGGTCAGGGACAACTCGCTGAACCGGTAGTACAGCGAGTAGGTCTAAAGCAGAGAGATATGACGGAAGCGTGCTTGCGATACGGCGAGCAAGTGTTCTGAAACGCACCTCTAGACAACACCTCCTACGCTTCGTTTTGCCTTAAAGGGACCATGAAATGATTTTAAAATCGAGTTTCATCCACCGCACGTCGTAAAAGGTGTGAAAAGAAACACAAAAACACAAAAATAGGGAGCCAAAAAAAATTATTTGCTATAGAACTTTTAAAAGAAAACTGGACTCTTTTGCGCCTTCCTTCCTTCGCCTGTTCACTACGATGCATCCGCGGAAATGGAGCACGTCAGCCAAATCCAGGTCGCCTATTGGGTAAGAGCCTACCTCACCAGCACCGCGATTGTAAACAATAAATAGCCGGCGAGTATTTCCTAAAAGTTTTGTTAAATAATATTAAGATCCACATTTTGTAGCATAATTAGAGATGTGTGGCGAAAATTGCCAAATTTGATAGGATGGATGGATGGATGAATACGGCTGAGCCCTTTGGATCGGGCGGTAGCTTACGCCACCTAGCCATTTTGTTTTACCATTTAAGCTTAGAATATTTAAATGTGAAATCTATATTCACTCCGCAGTGCAAAGAATGTGAGGCTATGAAACCCCCTTGCCATCAGTGGATAAGAAAATACCTAGTTTTCTCTCGATTTCTGCCACCATTCACTTAATCTTTGCTTGGTAATCTCTACAGTCTTGAAATCCACTCTCCCTTCGCTGTCTCTAAAACCCAATGACTTTATTAAATCTATGTTGTCTTCGGTAGGCATAGGGTGAAGCCCTTTACAGTAGAGTATCAAGTGCTCAGCCGTCTCGTCCTCCTCTCCACAAGCAGTGCACACTGTATCAATTTCCTGGTACTTCACTCTGTATGTTCTGGTTCGCAGAACACCCGTTCTTGCCTCAAACAGCAATGAGCTTCCCCTAGAATTGTCATAAATGCTTTCTTTGGCAATAACTCTTTTGTTTAATCTATAGCTTTCCAGAGCCGTCTTTGTCTGCATTCCCTCTAGCCACCAATCTCTTTCTGTGGCCTTAACTTTCTTCTTAACTGAGACTTGCTCTTCCGTATCTTCGCTATAGCCCAAAAACTTTCCTCTTAATTTCCTAGTGCGCTGTCTCCACTTTGTGTCTACACTCCTCATGTATAAATAGCTGAAAACCTTTCGTGTCCATTGCTCCCCGTCCATTTGCCTCAACCTATCCTCAAATTCTACCTTGCTCACCGCTTCCCTGCTCTCAAATGATGCCCATCCCATGTCTCCTTGTACTCCCTGGTTTGGCGTTTTGCAATGTACCCCCAAAGCCAGTCTACCTACTCCGCGCTGTAGAAATGCTGAGAGCCAAGCGCCATCTATCGTGTGGTAAACGAAGCAACTACTGCGCGTGCGCAGTAGGGCAGGGCCGACAGTTACTTGAGTGGCGGCGACCGACGAACGTTTCTTTTCTTTGTTTTCCTTCCTCTCAAAACTCTGACTGACTGAACGTTTATTTTTCTACGTGTTCTTCCCGCGCGTGCCGACTTCAAGCAGCAAGAAAACGGTACTTCAAACAGACCACGACGAACAAGAACGCTGGATCCACCGACTCCGACGAAGCGAGCTGCTCAGAATATAGGCCTAGCAGGCATTCCGACTCGGCGCTGCGTTGCTTCGTCGCAAGACCGTCTGCCTACGACCGGCTGGCGTGCTAAATGGAATATGCCCGCGCGACCCTTGTGGACCCTTCCCGTATTATAGTTTGATCACTGACCTCAATTCTAGATTAAGAGGTGAGGTCAATCTCTTCCCCTTGTTTTCCGAGGCAGTGTTGACGAACACTCGTCGAAAAGGGACTCTCGTCGATTCTATCTTCTTGTTTTGTGTGATATAGAGCTGAAATAAACGACGTATGGATTACCTTCGTAACACGGTATGTACACTTTGTTATTGGTATGCCATTTTTATTCTGACAGACTGCACGTCACTGTCGAGCTATAACAGTTCGTGGGAGGTATACGTACAACCCCGGTCCAACCTTTCTTTGCCGAGTGTCGCGTCAGTATCGAGTTGCAATCGTAAAAGAACGGTCCCGAAGCGCTTACAAACAGCGCGAATACAGCACTTCCATCAAGCGCGCGCGTCCGCTCCGAGTGTAAACAGGTATTTACGTGGCTCTTGCTGACACTCGTAGTTCAAACGTATCTTTTTTAACGTCGGCTCGCTCCTGCATCTCCGAGGCCGCGAAAAACGCCATCTACGTCGCTTTGCAAACGACTGACACGGGCCGGCCCACTGCCTGCCCTTCTGCCAACAATGACAGGGTGGTTGACTTCTGGAGTCTTCACCGGAAGACTCGCTGCACTTCCCAACAGGCATACCGGCGTATGGGACTAGTCCCATGCTGTCGCTGTAGCGCAACATATCTCATTGAATTTCGCTCAGCTGCGATGCGGTGATGAGAAGCGCCGATTCAGGAAATACGTCGGTGACATCAGCGCAGTAAAACCTACCGGCGCACCCCAACTCGTTGCCGCTAACACTCCCATTCTCCTACTGCCGAGAGAACTTCCGGTTCCGGAAACGGCCTACGTCACGGCTTGTTTTGCGGTCAGTTGGAGAGAATGAAAAAGTCGATATTTCAATAATTTTTTTGTGTAGAAGTTAATAAACCGAGACGAAAACGGATGCCTGTTCGGCATTCAGTGAACATTGACGGTTTAATGTAAAAGTTATCTGGAAAAAGTAAAAAGGTCATTTCATGGTCCCTTTAAGTCAGGACGCAGACGACGCTCAATCAGACAGCGTCAAAGGAGCACCATCATGGCGTTCGTCACGTTTATGTACATGTTCTATCATCGCTGAGCCAAATATAAATGTAAAATGCCACATGACTCGCGCTTTTGACGCTGCTCGATTGGTCCCTTTCGCTCGCAGGGACAGCTGCGTCTGGACTTGAGCTAAAACGATGTATATAGGATAATTAATGCCCTTGCACTATGCTTCGTTTCACCTTTGGTTCGAACGCAGAAGACGCTAAGAGCTGATGAGACAAATCAAGCTGCGTAAAAAATGCAACAGCATGGTGTTCGCAATGTGTCTGTACATATTCTATCATCGCAGAACCAATCATTATACAGGGAAGTTCCAGTGACTTGCACTTTTCAGGCCGTTTGATTGGTCCCAACAACTTGTATACTGTTGGCTGCGTCCGGACGTGAAACGAAGTGTGGCATTTCAACGTCATCCCAGTAAGATCGGGCGCAGACACAAGGGAGTTTTCGTAGATGGTTTTCGCCGTTCCGCAACGCTCCCCTCGACCCGCTACGATGCCCGGAAGTCTACAGTCAAGGCCATAGGGGCGCAGGTGCATGTTAACACAGAGGTTCGGGCAAGTTGGTTGCTCTTGATGTACAGAGAGAAAAGCGCACCCGCAGAACAGGTGTATGTTGACCTGAGTGACTGTTTTGCGGGTACACTGTTCCCCCTGTACATACGCGCAGGCGCAGTAGCGGTTTCTTCGTTGCGGAGGGCTTAGCGGAAGGAGAAACGCGGTCTACGAAAACTCCCTACCAACTGGATACGAGCGCTGTGTTAGCGTTCCGCTGGGACTCCTGTCCATGAAGTCAATGTGTCGAAAGATGGTCGGCACCGGGCTCGGGCCAGAGTTCGTGCCATCAGAGTGTGATGGCGTTACGTGGAGGAAGAGAAGCTCTTTTGTTTTTTTCCGAGTGTACTCACGGCCATGCTGAGCCCTCCGAAGGAAGCGACTAGTATGAAGCAGTTGATGGCGACGAGTGGTATCCTGTACAGAGGATTGACATCCAAAGTGAGTGTGTCTTCGGAAGAGATTCGAGGCATCGCCTGAAAAGCGCTGTGGATAGAAGATTTCTTCTTTCTCTTTCTTTCGACTGCTGGTGATGTCAATTGACGGCGAGATTAAAGTCCCTCGATAAAATTCACGCTTTCAAGTATCGCCAACCATTGTTGTGAAAACGCGCAAGAAACGTGCCACGAGCGGGTGCTCCGCCGACATTCGCTTCCAAGATATGCTCATTTCAGAGCTGCGCTCGAGACACGGGCCTGGTGCAGTGGCGCATTCGACGCTACTTACGAGACAAACACAAACACATCGAGGGGCTTTAGGCGAGACGTTTTGGCGGTGCCCCTTTATGGTTCCTACCTCTGACGTCACGATCAAGTTTATTTGTAGCAAACAACAAGCTCGATGGTGTTTGAAAAAAAAAAAATCGGCAGAGACACTTAAGACTGCTTGCCTGTGGGATTGCAAAAGCATGACGCACGCACTAGGCACTGCTTTAGTCAGCCGGAACAGTGGAGCCGCCGTGGCGTCGGAAAAGCGTGCTCGTCTCGCACCTCGGAGGCCCGCGGGTTCGTTTCCCACCCAAACCGAAATGTACGAAGTTTTCTTTCCAAAGCCATCAATTTACTTTGTTTATAGGAACATCCCCGAAAAAGTTCTCGCAGCCAATGAGAATTTAGGTGCCGTTTCGCTGCTACAGACGACGCCCAGCCAATGGGAATTTAGTTTCCGTTTTCGCAGGCTTCACCAGCTTCTTCTCCTTGAGACAGTTAGAGCTTTAGCACTAAAACGTTATCACCTCTGTATATCAACACCGCCAAGGTTTAAAGTATGACATTGCTTTTATTTCCGTCGACGAGAGCATACATAATCCTACTCAAGACGTCGTAGGGAGCATTTGGCCAATCGTGGAAGGCCAATCACAGCGACGCTTTTGGTCGTGCACGTCGCCATTAGCCAGTGACAGGTTCGAAACCTTCTATAACCACTAGATTAGAAACCCACTAAATCCACGATACGCGTCAAATAGCGTCTCTCAGCACGAGCTCTTGACATTGACAGGGCTATGGAGGCATTTTATTTCTATTTCGTATTTTTCCTGTTAGCGCTTGTCGTTTGCATGAGGTGCTACGAAGCATGGCATCGCCCTAAACAGAGGGACATTGAGGCGCCATAGCCCTTACAGCCCGTACTTTCCTGCAAGCTGTGTTATATTTATGTGCGTCTTTCAAATAGGTAAAGGATAGATTGTAAGTTGTTGTCCAGATGCCTTGCTCCGTTCTTCACTCAGTGCTTGTTGTATTGCATTGCATGGAAGTGATCCAAAAGCCCGGCGTGCTTGTGTTAGCTAGAGCGGGCAGGGTTGGGAAGATGACATTAAACCGCTACTTCAAGATATCTGGGAATACTCGCGCAGATAATTGCACTATGTTCGACAACGATGTGCTCCGGCAGTTCGTTCACATAGATCTTGGAGCATAGAAACGCTGCACATTGGCCTGGCACCGCATTTCCGCCTCCGACGGTCGGACTTATGCAAAAAGGCGGCTTCGTTTTGAAGCAGTTGAGAAAGGGAAGCGTGAGAGATGATGCTAAAGGAAAGATAAGTGTGCACAGCTAGTGCCGTCATTGTGAATGTGATTAATTTCCACGGGAGGTTCAGAATAAAAACTGCCGCTTTAAAAACACACACACACACACGCACAAACAGACACACACGCACACGCACACACACAGACAAGCAAAACATTTGCAGATTAGCCTTTATTTACGTACCAGCTGTTTAACCTAAGTGCAATCTAACGTCGTACGATAAGTCTATTCTTTTTTATTTTTGCATTATTTTGTTCTCTTTTAATCCGAAACCCGTCAATCCCTTCTTGTGCGTAAAGCCCCACTAGCGCCCGGTAGCTGCTGATCCAGAAATAAATCCTCAGTCGCTCTCAAATCCCATTTACCACCAACCATGGCAACGGGGAGAACAGGGAGGGTTGCGAAACGGGATTACGTCAAGTCGTCTGCATGAGGCGTCAACCATGGCCAACACCGACCGGAGATATTTTCTGTCCGCTCAATTAGGTGTCGTGTTCTCCGAAGAAGAAGACGTCGCCGTCGTGTTGTGCAGTGAAGTGTCTTCGGGTGAAATGCGGAAATCCGTCAACGTTCAAGTGCAACACTACAATACATCGTGAGAATAGTCATCAATGAGAGAGTGTACAAAGGCTACAAAAGGATGCTTTGCGACGTAGGTACCAACATTAGACACATTTTTATTTAGTCACCGAGTGTCAGACATTTTGTAATACGCCGATTATCAGCTGTGTCAACAGGGTGCTACGGCCTCTCGGGTGTAAGAATATACAGAATCGATCAAGGAGTTTTTAAGACTGTGGAGTGTCTGCCAAGTGAACTTCGTCGCACCGAATTAGTAAAACATTCCTTGTGATATATCACTTCCCAAATCCGGGATGTGTTTTCAATGGCTTCTGGTGCCGTGGCGATAGCACGCTTACTTCTGTCATTAAGTCTTCACGTTGTCCACATACCTTAGGCTAGCCTTACCTACAGTAGAGCTATAGCGTTGCTCTGGGTATCACATCGAGACTGATGCGGTGTGCTGATTGAAATTTCCAGGTTCTAGGAATTAATTTTGTGAGCTGTTAATTATGTTGTGTCGACAATTATTTTACTCCATCCTCAGTATTGAGCTGTGTCTAGTAGCGGAAAAAAATTGAGACCATGTGATTTGAGTCGTTGAATCGATCATGATACTTGATTCACAAAAAGGAAATTGATTGCGTATCAAAATACGTTGGATGCGATGACTCTTAAAAGGAAACTGAAGTTATTGCTTTCAGCGTTTTTGTTTATAGTCACAATTATTGCGTGTATGGAGGTCTTCTCTTTCGTTCACAAACAGAGCGCTGTTGGTAATGTTATCTCACCAAGAGACACATCTCGGCGAGTTAAAGAAAGGCCACGGTCCTATAGAATCCGAGGAATGGTGCAAAAACAGGAAGAGAGGAGATATCCCAACTTTGCTTGGGATCCGCATCTGTGGCGAATTGTAACTCGATTCCAATCCAGTCATGGTGCATCATTACCGAAAGGAGTGCCATCTTTAGTCATTCTAATTGCTTCGGCTCCAGAGAACATTCGACAACGAAATGCCATCAGAACCGCCTGGTCGCGGGGGCTAAATGGAAGCCCCCCAGCGGCTCTCACGGTCTTCCTAGTCGGGAGGACTGAAAACCCCGAGCAAGACAAAGTGATCGCAAATGAAGTCAAAGATGAAGGAGATGTCCTACTTGGAAACTACAAGGACAGCTACAGGAACCTTACCCTGAAAACAGTGCATGGACTCATCTGGGCCGGCATGCATCTCAAGCCTCTCTACGTCTTGAAAACAGATGACGATTGTTTTGTCAACACGAAAGTTCTGAATGATGTCTTGACAGGAGACATAGCCTTTAGACTTAATCGGCTTGGGTCTCCAGCAAGGCGGGTCGCTTTTACAATGCTGCAAAATGTGACGCCGGAGAAGAAGGTTGTAGATGCAAAAACTTTAACAGTCGAAACGCCCTTGTCTATGTTTTCAGGGTTTCAGGAATATTCTTCGGCACTCTATGTGGGAAGTATCCGTTGGGAAAACGAAGTCGTACGCGATGCAAAAAACCGTTGGTACGTTTCGGAGCAGGACTTCTCGGCGAGCCAGTATCCGCCCTACCCCAGCGGTGCAGGATACGTCCTTGATGCTACCGCACTGAGCCTGTTCATCAGAACTGTGCGCTATGTGCGGCCGTTCGCGAATGAGGATGCCTACGTAGGATCCGTATTAAATGAAGCCGGAGTGGAACCTCAACATAGCTCCAGGTTTTCGGCGAGGACGTCTAGTTTCTGGACGTGCAACTTGCTGTACCTTGTGGTGATTCACGGTGTCCAGCCGGCGGAACAAGCAGGGCTCGTGAAAAGGGTGCAGGAGGCCAAGCAAGAGTGTCGTGGACTTGAAGTAGAGCTCGGTTGGAACTGATGTGCCGTGGAGTTTCTGGAAGCGTGTGCTACGTAAAATAAAGCGACAAAAATTAACCTAAACCTTATTTAGCCAAATCACTGAAGCGTTTAAGTTAAGAGCTTGAACGTGAACATTCTACAGATACATCTGTTCTTAGGGAAAATAATATTTAAAGGAGCGATGCAACGATATTCCATTGGAATATTTTAGGGGCGAAGCTCCTTAGGGGCTAGCCATGTTCGTATGTCCGTCCGCCGTCCGGCGTGCCCCTGCTCGTGAGCTCACGAGCTCCTGCTCGTAAGTTCAGCAGCGAGAGCAAGAAAAAAACAATGAAAAAAAACGTCCGGCGTGCCCCTGCTCGTGAGCTCACGAGCTCCTGCTCGTGAGTTCAGCAGCTTGAGCAAGAAAAAATAATAAAAAAAAAAAAAACGAAAAAAAAAAACGAAAAAAAAAAAAAAAGTAGGGGGTTCTGAGTTGCCATACCATCTGTCTTCTTAAAAAAAGAAAAAAAAAGAAAACCACACATTCTTCTACTGACATGAATGAAAACGGCACCATCAGCACTACAGTACCTATGACCAAAATCAGTACCAAGAAAAAAAAAAAGTAGGGGCTTCTTAGTTGCCATCCCATCTGTCTTCTTACAAAAAGAAAAAGAAGAAAACCACACATTCTTCTACTGACATGAATGAAAATGGCACCATCAGCACTACCTATGACCAAAATCAGTATCATCAGCACCACCCGAGCTTCGCCCCAATCAACATCATTCACCACGTGGAGATGCGGTAATTTTTCACTTTACACGAGCTTACTGGCACCAGTGGGAATCAAGGATACTCGCACGCAACGCCACTGGCCAAGAAACTCCTTTGTTGCGGTGTAATTTCAAAAACAAAAGCCATCATTTTCATTTAATCTCTCCTTTGCGAAATTTGATAACGGAACGTGGGGATCGCAGTACAGCTTAATGACGATATTTGAATGCGGTTCATAAATTGGACCCGAGCATTGCGTGGGCACTCGATTTGGGCTCGTGATCATTACAAGCTCGAGAAGCATTCGTGTCGTGGCCCGTGTCCAATCGCTGCAACGACGACAATAGCCGAGCCATAACAATTGTCTGGAACTCAGCGCGTGTCCTGTGCTTTGCCAACCCCAGCGCGTGGCTATGATCAACATTGGCGGCATATATTCGGCTCCAGATCACGTGGCCGCTTGTTCTGACTGCGAGTTGAGGGGGTGAATGCTGCTTGTTTTTCTTTAATCTTGTTTCTGGGACTTCTATTGCGTGGGGTGAAAAACGAACGCGTTTTTCATAGGTCATTAAGGGGATACTTCAACGAAATTTGAAATATATCCGTCGTGTTCAAAAATAGGTTCAATATGATCCACAATATCCGTAAATGACAATTGCATGTTTGTATTTTGAGCCTGGTGGCTGTATTTTTTGTTATAAACGGCCTATTGTAGCGAGCGCTCGGAGAAGGCCCAGCGGAGACCACGTGACATCCAACGCAATCGTGACGTAGGTCGTCTGGGGACGAGCAAAGCTACGGCGAGGCTGACTTCGAGAGGATGGCCTAGTCGTTCCAGCCACCGAAGCGGCTGCTTTTGTACGAATTTTGAGTGGCGGGTTAATTTTTATAACCTTGTAGGGGGACAATAGCTACTTCTGGAACACACAAAAGGGATTCTCGGGAAGATGGGAGTTCCTCCTTCCCCTCTTCTCTCGTCGTGGCCGGAGGCGAGACACTCACCGTCACTAGCTGTCAAAGTTCCTAGACGGGCATTACAAACGAGGCGTTAGCGACATCCACCAGGTGCTCTTTGCTAATCATTTAATTCGTTTTAAAATTCCTTTTCGTGACTTTTTTAACAAGATATTGTCGTTTTCGATGTGATACTGCTCCTTTGAACACATATAGACAATAAAATAAGCGCCGAAATTTCGTTGTAGGGATCCGTTCCAAGCAGTATTTGCGCAAAAGACAAAAATTGCTGCATCACCCTTAAGAAGAGAAAGTCCAACCAAGCCCTAATTATATTGACGCAACGTTTCGAGGCCTACCTGCTATCTACTTTAGAGGTGAACGTGGCGATGAGCCTTCTGGAGGAGTATTTTTTAGGTTTTTCTTGTATTTTTTTATGGTGATGCATTTCTGAACGAGTTACGAAGTAAGGAAATATATATATATATATATATATATATATATATATATATACAAAAAATCACAAAGTTCTTTTCAAGAACTTTGTGATTTTTTTGATGTGATTTGATGTGATTTGATGAAAATGGAGAGGTCCCTTGTTCGACACCAGGACCAGGTGGATTTTTTCGGTCACGCACCATTTACCTATAGCTGTGTTTGGAGATTTGTGTTTGTCATTTGTCCCCCTTGCTCTCCTTCTCGAGAGATTATTATCGTCGCTGTTGTCCAGATCGCTTGCACCTTTGCGTTAATTGCAATATTATCACAACCTTAAAATGTAGGCCGTTCATTCTTGTTTATGTGAGACTGATGGCAGCTGACAAAACCCGTTTTCTCTGCTGACGTCAAACTCCTGGTTAGCTCAGTTGGTATAGCGCTCCACTGAAAATGGAGAGGTCCCTGGTTCGATACCAGGACCTGGCGGGTTGTTTCGATCGCGCACCAGTCACCTAGTTATGTTTGTAGATTTGTGTTGGTCCTTTGTCCCTCTTGTTCCCCTTCTCCAGGGATTATTATCTTGATTTAAAAGGTTAAAAAGCGCAACACAACAAGGACAATGAAGACACGAAGACGACAGGACGGGCGCTAACTCACAACTGATTTTATTAGAAACAACACTGTCACTTTTATACACAAGATCGTATGCCAAACCCACACTGCAACCAATCACCGCTCTCACAAGCAACTATCTAGAAACATTACTTCTTTCTGAAGCAAAAAGAGAGAGGGCGCGCTAACGCACTTGTCATCTTTCTTTTTGATATAAAACGCCTCTATAATCTCTCTCTCGGTCTTATCTTTTGATTTCTTTAAAATTTTTTTTATTTTTAAAGAAAAAAGAGAGCGCGCTAACGCACTCTCTTTTTTAGAGAGAGTGCGTTAGCGCGCCCTCTCTCTTTTTGCTTCAGAAAGAAGTAATGTTTCTAGATAGTTGCTTGTGAGAGCGGTGATTGGTTGCAGTGTGGGTTTGGCATACGATCTTGTGTATAAAAGTGACAGTGTTGTTTCTAATAAAATCAGTTGTGAGTTAGCGCCCGTCCTGTCGTCTTCGTGTCTTCATTGTCCTTGTTGTGTTGCGCTTTTTAACCTTTTAAATCAGTATGAACCAACTCGCCCAAACACAAGTTTTAATTATTATCTTTGATCCGATGAATCGCTTGATGTGATCGGTGTGGCAAAGCGAGCACTGAATTTGCAGTGCAACAACTCCTATCACGGAGCGATCGATCGGAGCTTCAGAAACGGTTCCTTAAAACGGCCTTTTAGTGTATGCAGCTCTCGTAAGCAGAAATCAGATGTGCTTTTGTAAATTACCTCGCAGATCTTCGAGTTTTAGTAGCCCTCCAGAAATCGCGCTTGACTTGGGATTCCCATTTTCTTCTTCCCGTCTTTTTTCGGTGGAGGCGGAAACATCGGAGTCCTTTTTCCGACGAACCGGCGCACAGCCGAATACAACAGACCGTCGTAGTAATGCATGGACGATCACGTCTTCATCATAACACACTTCAGGTACATGGCACGACTGCTGACCAGACTTGTACACGTTACTGAAAGAATGTAACCGATTACAATTACAATTACTTCACCATAAGAAGTAACCGATGAGAATTACAATTACAGCCTCAAAAAGTAATCGAAAAATTACTCTAAAGTAATCGATTACTTCCCACGTTACTTTTTATTCAACTTTTTTTTTTTTTTTTTTTTTGGATTGCGGTAGCATAATTCATGGGGTCTCGCGCTCAGTTGTTCCGAAGAAAAAAAAAAAGTCTTGACCGTTTTTGCTAAGAGCTAAGTGAGTGACGCCAACACCTCCCTCTTGAGAAAAATAAAAATAAAAATAAAATGAAAAGAGCGCTGTTTAAAAACATTACTCACAAGAGGCTGAATAAGGTCATTTTTCATACCCGGAAGTAGTCTCCGGTGTACCAAAAAAATAAATGTACCCAGGAAACGAAGCAGAGTGAAGTGGCCTACTAATCCTTGAAATCCCGTGCTTATGGGTTTCGAAGAAAAAAGAAAAAAAGAAAAAAAATACCGTTGTCCAGAGCTGAGTGACTCCAGCACATCTAACCCTTCCCCCCCCCCCCCCCCCCCCCCCCGCCCCCCCAAAAAAATAATAAGTAAAGGAATTGAGGAAAGTTGTAACGGGTAATATTTTAATCGATTACACAAAAAAGTAACTCAATCACAAAGATCGTTAGTCCTTAAAGGAGTAATTGAAGCGTTACAAGACTACACTAAAATGTAATCGAGTACAAGTAATACATTACTTGTAACGCGTTACGTACCATACTGCTGCTGACGAGATCATGGGAGATTTTTGTTTCAAGGATGAGTTTGCTGCGCGCCCAACTGGCCCCACTGCACACACACCCTCGTCCGACCAAATATGGCGCCGCGGCGCGGGTCAAAGGGTGTCCCCCCACCCGATGCGGGCCGGACGCGGTGGTCGGTATACGAGAAGGGAAGCCATCGGCCAAGCTGGCGCGTTGATAAACGTGTTCTTGTGAAAATGTCCAAAACATACCTGCGCTTCCTTGGACCCAACTGTAGACACGCCATGGCGGCAGCCTGAACTTCGAGGATTGAAAAGTGCAGTTTAGCGATAGGAGGGCACCTTGGGGAAAACCAGACGGAAGAGGAATAGCCGCGGAGAACACCTTGGAAAAAATGGAGGGAAGTCTACCTCGAAAATGTTCGACTCTCGCGACACAAGTAATCGTAAATGTTGGATTGCAAGTTGGGAGCGCTGCCCCGTCGTATCGCGACTTCCCCCACGCAACGCCGAAAGAGCCAAGGACG